AATGAGCTGTACGTACTCAGTGGCTCATGCTTGTAATCCCAGCATCTTGGGAGGCCAGGTGAATCATGAGGTTAGGGGTTCGAGACCAGCCTGGCCAACAGTGTGAAACCCTGTCTCTACTAAAAATACAAAAATTAGCTGGGCGTGATGCCACACACCTGTAGTCCCAGCTACTCTGGAGGCTGAGGTGGGAGAATCACTTGAACCTAGGAGGTGAAGGTTGCAGTGAGCCAACATCATGTCACTGCACTCCAGCCTGGTGACAGAGGAAAGCTCCGTCTCAAAAAAAAATAGAAAAATGGTTATTAAATTAATAAAATCCAAGATCATGTGTAATATATAAAAATGTACTGGATGAACATAGAAGTAGCTTAAACAAATATCAGTGCACATAAAACCAGAGCCGTCTTTGCAGTGAGCTGTGCTCCACACAAGGACCATGGGAAGATTACGGGTGTGCCATGCTCCAGGCTCCTGCGTGTGTTCAGCATTTGGAATCTCTCGTATCCCCCACAGTTTAGCGATTTGCATGGAGGCTTCACCACGTAGTCATGATTGGTATTAACTCAGTCTCCAGCCCCATTTCCCTTCTTGGAGGATGGTGGATGGCAGTGACTTTTCCATGCTTCTAAGCCTGGCCTGGTCTTGCTGGTGATCAGTCCCATCCAGGAGACCTCAGAGGTTTCCTCATAAGGACAAATGGCCCTCCCATCACCCGGGACATCTCACGGTCTTCGGAGCTCTGTGTCTGAAACTGGGAAAGAGACCAATATATGCATCTCTTATGTCACAGGGTTCCTCAGCCATTCTCCGGTTATGCTTCACCTACACTACTAGTGTGTGTCACAGAGGAGTGGGTAGATTTTTCTGCGATGGTTACTCAGCTGAGTGGGAAAGACAGTTAACAGGAAGGCCGTATGTTGCATCCTGAGGTCCTCTTGGAAGTACGGCTCACAGGGAAGACGCCTCTGGTTTGAAGTTCACTGTTACGTGTTTAAGCCGCTGCTACTTTCATCTGATACATTTCTACATATTACACACGATTCTAGATTTTATCGATTTATAATCAGTTTCTTTTTTGTGTGTGTGACGGAGTCTCGTTCAGTCACTCAGACTGGCATGCAGTGGTGCAATCTCAGCTCACTGTAGCCACTGCCCACTGGGTTCAAGTGATTGTCCTGCCTCAGCCTCCTGAGTAAGTGCGATTACAGGTGTGTACCAGCACGCCCAGCTAATTTTTGTATTTTTAGTAGAGATGGAGTTTTACTCTGTTGGCCAGGCTCGTCTCAAACTTCTGACCTGAAGTGATCCACAAGCTTAAGCCTCCCACAGTGCTGGGAATACAGCGTGAGCCACGCGCCCAACCTCCCACAGTGCCGGGAATACAGCGTGAGCCACGCGCCCAACCTCCCACAGTGCCGGGAATACAGCGTGAGCCACGCGCCCAACCTCCCACAGTGCCGGGAATACAGCGTGAGCCACGCGCCCAACCTCCCACAGTGCCGGGAATACAGCGTGAGCCAGGCACCCGGCCTCCCACACTGCCAGGATTACACCATGAGCCAAGCACCCGGCCTCCGTCTTCATTTTTATTCGTCAGGTCTCTTGTTTTTTCTGTTATGGAAGGTCTTATGTTGAAATCATCTAGTATTACAGTGGAGCAGTTCATTTGATTCTGTAAACATTGGCTTTAAATATGGAGCTCTGATATTTATACATATGTATCTCTAGTTCTTATATATTAATGATGAATTGACCCTATTATCATGATATAATTTTTTTTTCTTGTCTCCAATAAAATAGTTTCGAGTTAAAACGTATTTTAGTATTGCCAGCTCTCCTCTCTCTGGATGACAGTTGCTTGGGATATTATGTTTTATCTTTTGTGTTATTTTCTATTAAAAAATTTTGAGATACAGTGTCTTGCTCTGTCCCCCAGGGTGGAGTGCAATGGTGTCATCATGGCTTACTGAAACTTTGAATTCCAGTGATTGTCCCGCCTCAGCCTCCCTGGGTAGCTGGTACAGGTGCATGCCACCATGGCGGGCCAATGTTTTAGGTTGTTTTTTTTTTTTTGTAGATACAGTGTCTTGCTGTGTTGTTGAACTTGGTCTTGAGATCCTCCTCAGCCTCCTGCATACCTGAGATGACAGGCCTCAACTCTCATATTAACTGTTGGCTTTTATTTTTTAAATTGTAGCATATGTGTGTCCTTAGGGCTAATACGAGTCTTCTGTGGACAACACGTAGTTGGCTCCTGTTGATTCAGCCAGTCTTTTTCTTCTGAGTGCAGAGTTAAGTATTTACATTTGAAGTATTACTGATGGAGAAGACCTTACCGTTGCCTTTCTGTTACCTGTTATCTGTCATTCTTGTAGGTTCTTTTTGTTCTTCCTCGTATGCTGCTTTTTGTGTTTCGTTGCTTTTTTGTGTAGACATGCTTCGACTCCCTTCTCATTTATGTTTTTTTAAGTTTTATTTATTTATCTTTGAGATGGAGTCTCGCTCTGTCACTCAGGCTAAGTGCAGTGGCCCAGTCATGGCTAACCACAGCCTCCGCCTGCCAGGCTCCAATGGTTCTTATGCCCCAGCTTCCTGAGTAGCTGAAACTACAGGCGCCCACCACCACCCCCAGCTAATTTTTGTGTTTTTAGTAGGGTTGAGGTTATACCATGTTGGTGAGGCTGGACCCGAACTCCTGATCTCAAGTGACCCATCTTCCTCAGATTCTCAAAGTGCTGGGATTACAGGCATGAGCCTCTGTGCCCAGCCATTGTTATGATTTAAAATCGTTTGTCTTTTAGGTTTTAGTAAACACGTAAGTGGTTTAAGAATGATTATAATATAACAATCACATTAGTGTGCATTCCTTTCAGTGTGAAGAACTGCAGTGTGTTGGATAGATATTTGGGGAAAGTTGTAGTATAATAATGAGACTTAAAATTTCCATAACCTGGCCTGGTGGAGTTGCTCATGCCTATAATCTCAGCACTTTGCGAGGCTGAGGCGGGCCGATTACCTGAGGTTAGGAGTTCAGAACTAGCCTGGCTAACATGATGAAACTCTGTCTCTACTAAAAATACAAAAATTAGCTGGGTGTGGTCATGGGTACCTATAATCCCAGGTAGTCCAGAGATTGAGGCAGGGAGGCAGAAGTTTCAGTGAGCCAGCATCGCGCCATTGCAGTGCTGTGATTGTTTGACAATACAGAATTTCCATTGGATTTTGGTTATCTTTACATGAGCTCATTGTGGGTTATTTATCAATATAGTATGTGTGGTTCTTTAGTATTCATTTGTACACAGTAAATATGCTGTAAATATTAAGAATATATATTTGCCGGGTGCGTTGGCCCACTACTGTAGTCCCAGCACTTGGGGAGGCCGAGGTGGGTGGATCACAAGGTCAAGAGATCAAGACCATCCTGCTCAACATGGTGAAACCTCGTCTCTACTAAGAAAAATACAAAGCCGGGCACGGTGGCTCACGCCTGTAATCCCAGCACTTTGAAAGGCTGAAGCGGGTGGATCACAAGTCAAGAGATCGAGACCATCCTTGTTAACATGGTGAAACCCCCGTCTCTACTAAAAATATAAAAATGCGCTGGGCATGGTGGTGCGTGCCTGTAGTCCCAGCTACTCAGGAGGCTGTGACAGGAGAATTGCTTGAACTCAGAAGGCAGAGGTTATAGTGAGCCGAGATCATGCCATTGCACTCCAGTCTGGGTAACAACAGTGAAACTCCGTCTCAAAAAAAACATTAGCATGGCATGGTGGCATGTGCCTGTAATCCCAGCTACTCAGGAGGCTGAGGCAGGAGAATTGCCTAAACCCAGGAGGCGGATGTTGCGGTGAGCTGAGATCATGCCATCGCACTCTAGGCTGGGTAACAAGAGCAAAACTCTGTCTCAGAAAAAAATATATATATATTTTTTCTCTTCATTGATGTGACAGTGTATATTTTTTGCAGGCCAGTCGCGGTGACTCACGCCTGTAATCCAAGCACTTTGGAGGCCAAGGCGGGCGGATCACCTGAGGTCAGGAGTTCACGACCAGCCTGACCAACATGATGAAACTCCGACTTTATTTAAAAAAAAGAAAAAGAAAGAAATACATATTTTTGCCAAGTTTTATACACTTTAGGGTCATTGTGGAAAAATACTTCTTCTTTTAGACTTACATATGTTTGTCCCCTGTGAGTGTTTTGTTGTGATACTGGAAATAGGCTTCAGTAGACATGGCTTGAAGTCCATGTAATCACTCTTTATTCATTGAAGAGTCTCACTTCTTTTGTGTTCCTTTTTGTGTGTCATATTCATACATTTTAGTAGTATTTACTATTTGTACTTAATTGGAAACCTATTTGTGTTTATATTTTTTAGATATCTCTTCCAAATACAAGATGAAGGGGCTCTTGTCAACAGCACAAGGCAATACAGAAGGGTTCCACACAGGGATATTAGATAGACATGAAAGTCATCACATTGGAGATTTTTGCTTCCAGGAAATTGACAGAGATATTCATGATTTTGAGTGTAGAAATAGCCATGAGGCGCTCATGAGAAAAGTTGAAAAGCTTCCTTGTGGTACAGACCAAGATGACGAAAGGCACGCTGGCAACAAGCCTGTTACGGATCAGCTGGGATTAAGCTTTCATTCGCATTTGCCTGAACTGCACATATTTCAGACGGAAGGAAAATTCGGTAATCAAGTTGAGAAATCTATTGATGTTTTCTCAGTTTCAGCAACCAAAATCATTTCTTGTAGGCCCCAAACCCATATTTCTAATAAGTATGACAACTTCCCCCATTCTTCATTACTCACACAAAAACCGAAAGTACACGTGAGAGAAGTATCTTTCCAATGTCATGAGAAAAAAGCTTCTAACTGTAGCTCTCTCTTGAGGAAACATCAGGTAATCCATTTAGGAGAGAAACAATATGAATGTGATGTGTGTGGAAAGGCCTTTAATCAGAAGCCATACCTTGAATGCCATCGTAGATGTCACACTCGTGAGAAATCTTACACATGTAATGAGTGTGGCAAGAGCTTCAGTCGGAAGTCAACCCTTACACGCCACTGTAGACTTCACACTGGAGAGACACCTTACAAGTGTAATGAGTGTGGCAAGACCTTTGTTAGAAATTCAGCCCTTGTAATTCATACGGCAATTCATACTGGAGAGAAACCTTACAAGTGTAAGGAGTGTGGCAAAGCCTTTCGAGGGCAGTCAACACTTACTTACCATCAGTCCACCCATGGTATAGAGAAACTTTTCAAGTGTAATGATTGTCATCACGTCTTCAGTAACGCTACAACCATTGCAAGGCATTGGAGAATCCATAATAAAGAAAGATCTTACAAGTGTAATAAATGTGGCAAGTTTTTCAGACATCGTTCATACCTTACAGTTCATCGGCGAACTCACACTGGAGAGAAACCTTACAAATGTGAAGAATGTGATGCAGTTTTCACCTGCAAATCAAACCTTGAAATGCATAGAAGAATTCATACTGGAGAGAAACCTTACAGGTGTAAGGAGTGTGGCAAGACCTTCAGTCAGAAGTCATCCCTTACACGCCATCATAGCATTCATACTGGAGAGCAACCTTACAAGTGTAATGAGTGTGGCAAGGTTTTTAATCGACAAGCATACCTTGCATGTCATCATAGAGTTCATACTGGAGAGAAACCTTACAAGTGTAATGAGTGTGGCAAGGCCTTCAGTCAGAAGTCAGCCCTTACATATCATCGTAGACTTCATACTGGAGAGAAACCTTACAAATGTCATGAGTGTGGCAAGACCTTTTGTCACAAGTCATCCCTTACATGCCATCATAGAATTCATACTGGAGAGAAACCTTACAAGTGTAATGAATGTGGCAAGGTTTTTAATCGACAAGCACACCTTGCACGCCATCATAGGGTTCATACTGGAGAGAAACCTTACAAATGTGAAGAATGTGACAAAGCTTACAGTCGCAAATCAAGTCTTAAAGGACATAGGAGAATTCATACTTGAGAGAAACCTTACAAACGTAAGATTTGTGAGAAAGCTTTCAGGCATGATTCACACCGGGCACAACATACTCAAATTCACACTAGAATGATTGTCACCAAGTCTTCAGTAACGCTACAACCAATGTGCATCCTCCAATGCAAATCATTGGAGCATCCATAATGAATGGATTCTTGCAAGTGTAATCAATTTCGCAAATGTTTTAGACATTGTTCATACCTTTCAGTTCATTGGCGAACTCATATTCGAGATAATGCTTACAAATGTCATAACTGTGGCAAGGTCTTCAGTCAATTCTCATCTTATGCAAAACGGAAAAATTCATACAGAAGAGAAACCTCACAAATGTGATTATTGCAGCAAAGCCTTCAATTCACGTTCACACCTTATTAGATATTAGAGAATCCATACTGGCAGATACCTTACAAATGTCATAAGTGTCACAAGGTCTTCAGGCAGAGGTCACTGCTTGCAGAACATTGGAAAATTCATTTTTGGCCGGGCACGGTGGCTCTCACCTGTAATCCCAGCACTTTGGGAGGCCGAGGCGGGTGGATCACAAGGTCAAGACATCGAGATCATCCTGGTCAACATGGTGAGACCCTGTCTCTACTAAAAATACAAAAAATTACCTGGGCATCGTGGTGCGTGCCTGTAGTCCCAGCTACTCGGGAGGCTGAGGAAGAAGAATTGCCTGAACCCAGGAGGTGGAGGTTGCGGTGAGCCGAGATTGCGCCATTGCACTCCACCCTGGGTAACAAGGGCGAAACTCCGTCTGAAAAAAAAAAAGAAAAATCCATTTTTGAGATAATGTTCTAAGATGCGATGAGTCTAGCAAACCATCAAACATTAATTGACATTAGAGTCAATTCAGCAGACTTGAGTTTGAGTTTACTTAACATTGAGTTCCAGCACTAATTGATATAAAAGTGTGTATGTTAAGAGGATTGGACTGGGTGGGGTGGCTCACGTCTGTATACTTAGCACTTTGGGAGGCAAAGACAGGTTCATCCTGTGAGTTTATTTGAGACCAGCCTGGGCAACAGATGGAAGCCACTTTTCCCAGCCTGTGTTTTGTTTCTTTAGTAATCTGATAGAGGTTTTTGTCGGTATTGTGTTGAATCCAAATCACATTGGGTTTTACGGTCATTCAATAATGTTTTTCCAATCCATCAATATGGGTTGTATCTCTATATATGTCTATAATCATTTTAATCAATGTTTGTAGATTTCATGCTACAAACGTCTCACCTTTTACATTTACTCCTACGTAGTTCTTTAAGTTCTCTAGCAAATAGATGTGTGTTTTTAATTTCTTTTAAAATTGTTTATTGTTTTATGAAAATTCACCTAATTTTAAGTGCTAACTTTGTATTCTGCAATTACACTAAATATGTTTATTTTACCAATAATATTTTGGTTGATTCTTTGAGATTTTCTTTTCTTGCTTTTCTTTTCTTTCTTTCTTTTTTTTTTTGAGACGCAGTGTCAGTCTTGCTGCTTGAGCTGGAGTGCAATGGTGTGAGCTTGGCTCGCTGCAGCCTCCGCTTCCTGAGTTAAGTGTTTCTCCTACCTCAGCCTCCTGAGCAAGTGGAATGATAAGTATCCCCCACCACGCCTGCTACTTTTTTTTTATTTCTTGTAGAGATGGGGTTTTACCTTGTTGACCATGTTGGTTTTGAACTTCTAACTTCAGGTGATCCTCCCATTTTAGCCTCCCATAATGCTGGGATTACAAGTGTAAGCCACTGTGCCCAGCGAGTGATTTTCTACATAGAAAGTCATGTCATCTGCAAACACACACTCACACACGTTTTTTTTTTTTTTTTTTTTTTTGACATGGAGTTCCGCTGTCGTTACCCAGACTGGAGTGCAATGGCATGATCTCAGCTCATCGCAACCTCCGCCTCCTGGGTTCAAGCAATTTTCCTGCCTCAGCTTCCCGAGTAGCTCGGACTACAGGTGCGCACCACCATGCCCAGCTAATTTTTGCATTTTTAGTAGAGACGAGGTTTCACCTTGTTGACCAAAATGGTCTTGATCTCTTTACCTCGTGATCCACCCGCCTCAGCCTCCGAAAGTGCTGGGATTATAGGCGTGAGCCCCCGTGCTTGGCTACATTTTTTTTTAGACAGAGTCGTTCTGTTGCCAGCCTGGAGTGCCATGGCACAATTTCTGCTCACTGCATCCTCCGCCTCCTGTGTCCAAGCAGTTCTCCGCTTTCAGCCTCCTGAGGAGCTGGGACTGAAGGCTTGCACCACCACACACAACTGATTTTGTTGTTTTGTTTTTCTTTTTTGTATTTCAGTAGAGACAGGATTTCACCATGTTGGCAGGATGGTCTTCAAATTTCCTAACCTTGTGGTCCACCTGCCTCAGCCTCCCAAGTGCTGAGATTACGGTGTGAGTCACCTCGTCTGGACCTGACAAATATAACTTTACTTCTTTCTGATTTGGATGAGTTTCATTTTTTGCTATTTAATTGCTCTGGCTAGGACAGCCAGTACTTCTTGAATAGAAGGGATGAGAGCATTCTTGCATCATGTGAGATTCTGCAGGAAAAGCATTTCATTTTCCCTTGTTGGTTATTTCACTCTGGTCATCGCATGGATAGTCTTTATATTTTTGAAGTAGATTTCTTTTTTTTTTTTTAACGGAGTTTTTCACTTCTGTTACCCAGGCTGGAGTGCAATGGCGCGATCTCGGCTGACCGAATCCTCCGCCTCCTGGGTTCAGGCAATTCTCCTGCCTCAGCCTCCCGAGTAGCTGGGATTACAGGCACGCACCACCATGCCCAGCTAATTTTTTGTAGTTTTTGTAGAGACGGGGTTTCACCATGTTGACCAGGATGGTCTCGATCTCTTGACCTCGTGATCCTCCCGCCTCAGCCTCCCGAAGTGCTGGGATTACAGGCTTGAGTCACCGTGGTCTGCCTCAGGTAAAGTTCTTATCTGTTTTGCTTAGGATTTTTTTGAAGGATGAATGTTGAATTTTGTTAAATTATTTTTGTTTTTTTTTTGTTGTTTTTTTTGCTTTTGAGACAGAGTTTCGCTCTTGTTACCCAGGCTGGAGTGCAATAGCACAATCTCAGCTAGCTGCAACCTCTGCTTCCTGGGTTCAGGCAATTCTCCTGCCTCAGCCTCCTGAGTAGCTGGGATTACAGGCACGTGCCACCATGCTCAGCTAATTTTTTGTAGTTTTTTTTTTTTTTGGAGGGGGGAGGAAGGCAGAAAGGAAGGGAATAAGGATGGTAGGGAGGAAGGAAGGGATGAAGGAAGGAAGGAAGGGAGGAAGCAGGGAGGGAGGGAGGGAAGGGAAGGGAAGGGAAGGGAAGGGAAGGGAAGGGAAGAAAGGAAATCAAGCAATGGAAGAGACATTGCCGACCTGGATCTAGAGGTTTACAAGTTGATTTCTTTTTTTTTTGAGAGAAGGAAAGAAAAAAATAAATAAGTAAAGGAGAGGAAGAAAGAGGGAGAGTAAATGGAAATATTGCTTTATTTTGAAAAAAATTGGGTATTAATAATGGCCAATCAATATTTCATTTAAACTAATGGGTAGGTGTGATGTGGTATTGACAAGAATGTATATTTTGTGTATTTGAAGTGGAGAGCTCTATAAATATTAAGTTTACTTGTTCTGGATCTGAGTTCGAGTCCTTGATATCCTTATTAATTTTCTGTCTCATTGAATCTATGTCTCTATGTATCTGGGTGTTAGGATCGTTAGCTCTTGTTGTTGCCTTGATCCTTTTACCACTATATCTTTGTTACTTTAAAATCTATTTTATCCGATACAAGAATCGCAACTCCTCCTTTTTATTTATTTATTATTTATTTTTGCTCTCCATTTGGTTGGTAAATCTTTCTCCATCCCTTTGTTTTGAGTCTTTGTGTATCCTTGCTTGTGAAACAGGTCTGGATGTAACATGCTGTTGGGTTTTGGCTGTGTCTTTTGATTGGGAATTCAGTCAATTTAAATTTAGGGTTACTGCCATTTGATGTTGACCGGCTGTTTTATCCATTTCTTGGTGTAAATTCTTCTTTATGTTGGTGCTCTTTACTTTTTGGTGTATTTTTAGAAAGGCTAATACTGGTTGTTTCTTTCTGTGTGTAATGCTTCTTTCAGAAGCTCTTGTAAAGCAGGCCTATGGTAATAAAATCTCCGAGTTCTTGCTTGTTCATAAAAGATTTTATTTTTCCTTCAGTTGTGAAGCTTAGTTTGGCTGGATATGAAATTCTGGGCTGAAGGTTCTGTTCTTTGAGAATGTTGAATATTGGCCCCCACTCTCTTCTGGCCTGTAGAGTTTCTGCTGAGAGATCTGCTGTAAGTCTGATAGGCTTGCCTTTGTGGGTAACATGACCTTTCTCTCTGGCTGTCCTTAGTATCCTCTCCTTCGTTTCAACCCTGGTGAATCTAACGATTATGTGCCTTGGGGTTGCTCTTCTTGAGGAATATCTTTGTGGTGTTCTCTGTATTTCCTGGGGTTGAATGTTGACCTGCTTTGCTAGTTTAGGAAAATTTTCCTGAATAATATCCTGAAGGGTATTTTCCAGCTTGGATTCATTCTCTCCGTCGCATTCAGGTACACCTATCAAACGTAAATTTGGTCTTTTCACATAGTCCCACATTTCTTGGAGACTTTGCTCATTCCTTTTTATCCTTTTTTCTCTAATCTTTTCTTCACGTTTTATTTCATTAAGTTGGACTTTGACCTCTGATATCCCTTCTTCTGCTTGAACAATTCGAGTGTTTAAACCTGTGCATACTTCTCGGAGTTCCTGTATTGTATTCTTCAGTTCCATTAATTCACTCATACTCCTCTCTAAGTTGTCTATTCTCAATAGGATTTCATCAAGCCTTTTGTCAAAGTTCCTAGTTTCTTTACGTTGGGCTACAACATGTTCTTTTAACTCACCGAAGTTTGTTATTATCCATTCCTTGAAGAGTGATTCTGTCATCAGGAGGCGCTCGTTCTCCATCAAGCCTTGTTCCATTGTTGATGTGGAACTGTGATCATCTTTAGAGGGAGAGGCGTTCTGACTTTGAGTATTCTCAGCTTTTTTACGCTGGTTTCTTCCCGTCATTGTAAATTTATCCTCCTGTCGTCTTTGAAATTACCGACTTTCAGATTAGGTCTCTTGAGTGGACGTCCAGGTTGTTAGTTCCCAGGGCCAGAGCAGCGGCGTTAAAACTGATGGTGCTTTTCTGCCAAGGATTCTCCTGTCGGGCTTCCTTGTTTCCATAGTAGGCGACTCTGCCTTCCCGGGGCTCCCAACCTCGGTGAGAAGGGGAACAGAAGGGGAACCTGTCCCGTTTACTATGCGCTGAGCACTGACGCGTCTAGGTGCCGGCGGAACCGCTGCGCCGACCACGAGAGTCGCGCTGGCGACTCGTGTGTTTCCAGCACTGGGGGATCTTCTGCTCCGTGAGCGACCAGACTTTTTCTGAAAGTGTGGCGTCCTCTAGTTCTCCGCGCCTTCCCTGAGAGCTGCAATCCCGGGATGTTAGCGATCGACCATCTTGGATCGTTCTCCCAGTTTTTTTTTTTTTTTTTTGAGACGGAGTTTCGCTGTTTTTACCCAGGCTGGAGTGCAA